TTCTTGCTTTTGTATACAGTGATGCAGTTTTTATGTTAACTTAAAGCTTAGGATAGAAGAAAAATAATTTTGAACATTATATACATTCAGAAACATATTTCATTTTTCATATCTTAAAAATTTTCTATCAATTCTTTTACATCATTTTTCATTTGTTCCCACTTGCTTTTCTATCTCTGTGTCATCTATTTGTCCTTCTCTTACTGTCTTCTGCCAACCTTTAATATCTGTTTTTTTTTTTTTTTTTTTTTTTTTTTTTCTGACATTGCTTGCCATATGTGCCATAGTCTGGTTTTAGAAGTTTGATTTTTCTGGCATCTTCCAGGGCATTTTAAGAGGGAGGGTCTCCTGCTCACTCTTCGCAGCCTCTTCGTGACTCAGTGATTACCATGCATTGGATGTAGATGTGTGCTATCCTCCTGACCCCCTCACAACTAGTCAGGCCTAGAACAAATATGGGGGCATGACGTACTGCTGCCAACGGGTGCTGCTCCTTCCTTTCCAGAATGGGGACACTCGCATCCAGGAACAGACAGAAAAGACAGGACATTACTTACTCATTACATATACATACTCTAACATTTTTGACATCTACACATATACACTTGTCAAAATAAAAAGGAAAAAAAAGACAACAAACTTTGATACATACATTTCATCAGCTGATTATCAATCTTTTTTTCAAACAATCCTTAAAAGAAAATGGTAAATACGAAAGTAAAATTTATAAACTGTTTTTTTTCCCTTTATTAAACATTTAAAAAATAAAAATTCAATTTTAAAAATTTAGCGTGAAATTATGGACAGTGTAAAACAAAATAAAAATACTCTTTGAAAAAAAAATAAATTAAAGAAAATTGTTTTAATTTTACATGAATATATCTTCTTCATGGAAAGAGTCCATGTTCGTTTTTCTTCTAATCTCCCCACCCTACATATCTGTGTACAGTCTAGAATTTTCTTGGGTATTGTCATCCAAATTTATTGTAATATATGTAAATAAAGATGTGTTTTTACAAATCTGATGTGATTATGATTTTTCTGTTTGTGAAATTGTAAAACTGGCTTTCCCTCTTGCATGCACTGTTTATAAAATTTCTCTTTCTTGTGTGTGTGTGTGTGTGTGTGTGTGTGTGTGTGCTGCATTTTATTTGGTCAATCTGTCTATTTTCCTCTTCTATTTTTCTGGTCTACTGAAACAGTTTTCTTTTTTAGTTGATCAAATTTTTGTAACCATCTTTTAGGGATTATGTTTTTCTAGTTTGAGGCAGTATCTCTATCATGTAGCAGTCTTTGCTGTTCTCACTGGAATGTTAGTAGTCTCTCTTCTGTCTTTTAAAAATGGTCACATAAAACATTTTGTGAATAATATACACATATTCTCTTTATTATTAATAAATATACCACATTTTTTAGTATTTTTCTTCAGATAGGTTTCAGTGATATATACCATATAAACTTTACTTTCTGAGAAAAATTGTTTTGTTTTTTTTAGTTGAGTATAGATGTTTACTTTATCACAGTGTCATTCACATGTTTGGTAAATATTCAATATTTCACATTTTTTTTCATCTTTTGGAGGATTATCATTTTAATGTGATTTTTTTTCAACAAATGTGCTTTTCAATTATAACAGAGCACTAAAATAATTTGTTTTATTTATTCATATTACATATTACAAACATCTTGCTATTTGTATTCTTTTGACTTAAAACTGAAAAGCAGGATTCTCATTTATGTCATTATCTCAGGTAGTGGACAAAACTGGAAAATCTTTGGTCCTGATAAATGAAAATTTATACAGTATTCATTAGAACCCATTTGCTTCTCATTTATATCACTGTAGATAGTAATTGTACTCTATCACAAAAGAACAAATGCTTTAAGTAAACTTCCATCCCATATATGTATATTAGTAATGTCTAGATTATTAATACAATTTTTGGTTTCAAACTAATGAAAGTTTAATACATAACTTGAGATTCTTGTAAGTTGCAAATAATGTATGATGCTTAACTTTGCAGATATAAAAAAAAACATGATCTTTCTTTATTAAGTAAAATGTTTTATTTGCAATAGCATGAAAAATATCAGCAATAATTGTGAAATCACTTCTCAGATTGTTTCTGGACAATTTTGTAGATATATTTAGTACAGTAGTATGTCTTTTTGTCTTTAGTTAACATTTTTATTCTATCTTTCATGATGGATAAAATTAATTCAATGGTTACTTGAATCTTATACCTTAAACTTAACCTAAGAAAGTTATGGTAGATTAAATTTAAATATCTAGCTAATGAAAATGACCTTTGCTCAAAATAATCATTACATTTTCAAGTTATTTTTCTTTGGAAATGGGACTCATTAACTGCACTGTAAATTAACATTTTTAAACTTGTTATTTTATGTTTTGTGCTATTCAATAAAACAATTTCCAGGTAGTTCAGAAACCCATTTTCCAAAAGACAACTTTTTGAGTAAAGGCAAAATAGAAATATTTCCAAAATCACTGTTTCTCCTGATCTTTCTTTATTTTTAGGAATAAAATCTACTACAACTTTAGAAAAGTCTGTTGTTACTTGCCAGTATATAAATATAACTGTTTTTAGGGTTTGAATGTAATGGTTTTAAGAAATTTTAGAAATAGTTTCTACTAACATGCCAACTAAAGATCTAAGTTAAACTATATTTTTACAGATGATGATAAGTTTAGGTTTATAAATGTGTAGAGAAGCTGACTAATAACAATTAAATTAATTTTTTTTTATTTACTGTATATTCAAACATATCGAATACAATTAGTTAAGCATTTCTAGATGATAAATTAACATAAAACTGAAACAAGGTAAAACTGTGAACTTGTTTTAGCTTTGAAAATTTTATTAGAAAGCCTTTCTGACCATGTTCTTAGTATTCTTTTCTCTTTGATCCTATTAAAAATGTCTAGTTAGATCTATATATTTTGTTCTTTCTTATTCAAAATAATTGTTTTATGCTTGTATTTTCTTTAATAAACTGGGTTGAAGAATATTACTATATCCAATATTTCTGATTACTTAACATTATTTCTTTTCTTTTGAAAATATTCAGAAAAGAGGCTTTATTTACCAGGATATTTCTATAAACCACAAACAAGATTATTATGAAAAAATATCACTTTTGACTAGTCTGATAGAAACAGAGAATTTAGTACTTATGAACATATTAAATATTACATTTAGGTTACCTGCATTAAAATAATTTTCAAGCATATTGTTATTAGCTAGTACTTATTTTGTTAAATCAAAATTTAAGAAGTTTTAAGTTAAATATGGAATAGGCCAAAATTAACAAAGAAATGGTAAATAAGCACTTGATTGTGTAAACTATTGCTATGGATAGAACTTCATTTTTATGCAACAGATTTGTAAATTTATGTATGTATGGCATATTGTAAGGATAAAAGGTTTCTTTCTTATGTTTATATGTTTCCAAAAAGTAAAACATTTTACCTCACAATTTGAGACTTACATCTTCACTTGATTTATATTTAAATTCATTTTGAAAGCAGTAAATTTAATAATTTCAAATGAGAATAATACTGTATTGTTTGTACAGTTTTCATCAACTGATATATAAATCTTCCCAGTGGTGACAAAGATACCCTTATATTTTCTTCTAAAAATGATTCTTATTCATTAAATTGTATTTTGCCAAAACAGTTATCTACTTTTATACTCTATGAGAGAGTGCTGAAAAGTTCTTTTGGCCATTGATAGAATATCTTTCACAATTAAAAGTAATTTTTTTACAAATGATTTTAATGAAAAAATACTTTATATCTGTATTGGTATAAGACCACAATAAATATATTTACTAAATTTATTTTAATGGGTCAGATGGGAAAGGGAAGTGTATGTTATGTCAATATGTATCATATTTTGATAACTGAAGCATAATGAGATAATTTCCTTATTGATAAAGAGTTTTTTTTTTGTTTTTTTTTTTTAATTTTAGGGACATCATCTTGAGAAAGAAAAAATTATTGCTTTATTTTTGGAATAGGATGTTTGGATATAAGTCACTAATGATCCCTATAATTTGGCCCCCTAAAAGGTAGTGAATTCATAGTATGAAAGAAAGCAGGCCTGTATGGTCTTTCAACTTTGTTGCCAAATAGAAACTTTATTCAGATTGTTTTAATAAATATTTTAAAACCTCTTTTGCTGCTTTCACTACACTTGTTAATGTATACAAAAATATTTACCAGTTTGAAGTTAATTCAGAAATGCATATTACATTTATATGGATTAATTTTCTGCTTTAAATGCATTTTGACAGTGAAGGAGAGCTTAGAAACTATTGTAAAATATAATATCTGTTGATATGATGGAATGAAATTGACTGATCTACACAGAAGTAGTGATAGTCATAATTTGAGTGCTGTAACATCTTGAAATTTCCAAGATTGAAAACATAAAAGGAGAACTTTAGAACAAAACTATCTAGAAGGGAAGGCACGGAAAATATTTAGCATTTCACAAAAAGCATTGCCATTTAAAAAAAAATGATAACCTTCTGATGTCACAGAATTTAGCTGTTTTACACACAGCATATAATGTTATCAACAAATGAATTTACATGTAACTTTCTGGCTCAATTTAATATGTCCATGTATGTTGGAATGATTGATTGGATAAGTTAGTTTGGAAGTTGTTGGGTTCTTTTTATCATTAAATTTTGAACCTGCTGCTTGATTGCAAAACATAAATTAGTCAGATTTATAGCACTATCTATATACCTAAATCGTCATTGCTTTTACCTTTCCTAATTAAAACTGTTGATATTTTTAATTAATAAATTAAATTACGTTTGTAAACAACTGAATTTTAGGATAGGCAATCAGTCCAAATATCTGAAAATATGATTTGGCACACTGTGACAAGATTGTTTATGCCATATTTCTATCAGTTATAATTGCAGGATTTAAGCATTTTATTATTTTTTTCTTTCTATTTCAGAGCCTCATCTGATGGTTTATCAATAAAGCGATCCAAATATGACCCTTCTTTTCAACGCCAATTTGAAGCTAACCCCAAATCCGTAAATGCAGAATTGGAGAAGCTTCAACGAGAGGTTTGTTGAACTTGCTATCTCAAAATTAAGGCACTGTCATATAATTAAAAACCAAAATGATCATTGCATTTTTTTCATCTATTCATATGTGTAAGAATCAACAGTAGCATTAAATTCTGTTTAGTATGGAACATTTTGGCAGAAACACTTATTTTTCTCCATCTTAATGGGAAATGATACTTTTTATAACTCTATTAGCAATGTGATAAAAATTAGCATGAAATTATTGAAGTACTTATAAAATCCAGAAAATTTATTTATGTTAAATTGTACAAAACTGTTTCCTACTGTGAAAAGTGTTTTCAAAGCTTTTTCTTATAGAATTACCATCTGTATGTACTTTATTTTTGTGAGAATTTAGGCTATCAGCTGAATTGAAAAATTAGGATCCTACTGAATGTTATCCTCTTTGGTTTATTATACAATATTTACAGACTACTTTTACAACCTACCATTTCACTTCCATTATATTGGATATGGTTCAACAATTATCTACTCTTAATTGTTGCTCATTTCTTGATATTTATACTGGATAGGGTCTATTTGCATGATTTTATTCTAGGTTAGATATGCTACAATATAGGTTTTGATTCTATACCTTATTCAACAAATTCAACTTTAGTGCTCATATTTACATATACACACATGAAATATGGTGTGAGTGTTTGTGTCAAAAAGTAAGTCAATCTTGTTTTATATTTTATGAATTTTTATTGTGAATCTACATTTCTCAAATTTGTTTCTTTTTGATCTGTGTCATAGATAGCCTGACATATTGACAGTGTTCAAAGTTTTTCTCACCTGAACTTTCATGATCTGGAGTAAGCAGGTGTTTCTTTCTTACCCATAAAACTGTATTTTTTTTCATATTTCTTTCTTTCTCTGTCTCTACTTTTCTTTTCTTTTTCTATGTATCCAAAAAGGACTCTAGCATATATACACAAAAAGAAGTTATTTATAAATTACACTATTATTGCTGTTTTTCTTCATTTATCTTTCTCTACTCAAGGTATACATAAGCATTTGTTTTCATGTGTATATATATATATATATATATATATATATATATATATATATATATATATATATATATATATATATATGATAATAATGTAATATACTTTGTGAAACAACTTCATCTGTCTCTGTTCATTAATTCATTTATGTGGTGTCAGAGGATTAGTTTTCTCTTAGCATTATTTTTAGTTCTTTAAAAGAAACATTCTTTACTAAAAAGAAAGGTAATTGGTACTATATGACCCATCTCATTGCTGATATGTTAAATATTTCTGTTTATATTCTTAATTTTCATAAACTGATATGAAGAAAATATTCTAAACTCTGTAAGCACCCAACTCAGGAACTCACTGTTAACATCATTTAAAATATATTTTACTTTGCTTACTCAGGACTTTATATTAGCATCAGTTACCATGTATATATTTTCATAGCCATGCAGTTTCCCTGACTTTAACATAGTGCATACTCTCTGTCTCACTCTCTCTAACACTAATAATCAAATAATCATGAACATTTCGATTAACAGAGAACGATCTCAATTTACATTTAGATTAGAATATGGACATTTTCCAAAGAATATTTTCTTTTCCAGATAACTTTCGTTAAAACTTATTGTTTTAGAAATTTGCTACTCATGATTAAATTCTTGTTTATATATATCTGGTACTTTTGCATTTTTTTCTATTGTATTAAAAACGATTATTCTTTGTTTTCATTTTTACTTTTGTTGTTATTGCTTTTAATTTTTCATGGTTTTGGGAAACAAAAATGGCTTGGCTTTTGTATATGCATGTATGTTTGTGTGTTATCTTTTTTTGGTTGGGGATTGTATTTATGATCAGCTTTCAGCTTTGGCAACTAATTTCTCTTGATAGTTTGTTTATATCTACTCAATTTATTTTTTCTTCTCATTCTCATCTTTTCTGTCTTAAAGGCACTCACAGTTTTTTGAAATATCTTTATTCTTTAAGCCATGTTTTGTCCTATGATTTTAAATCAATATCAGTGTGGGTCCTGTTATGGATTTTGCAGAGCTACTGATTTTCTACATGCCTCAAGGGTGTAAATTCTTTACTGTAAGACTAAGAGAACAAAAAAAAGACATTGGTATTTTCTGTGTCTTCTAACTTGAGAATTTTGCATTTGAATTTCACTCAAAATCAATCCTCTTTATGTGTTACATATCCAATGATTTTAGTATGGAAATTGAAAGGTGGCTTTAAAGCTTTTGACAATTACTATTTTGTTTAGAGTTCCTGTAAAGAATCAAAGATTGCACTTGATTAAAAACAAAAAATCATTTGAGTTTACTTTAGTCCCTTTGCTCTTGCTAAATTAGTCTGCAACTCATACCTTCAGCTTGTGTTTGTAGACAAAGATTAAGAAAAATGAATGAACCCACTTTACCTGTAGAATGATGTTAACATGCTGAACATATAAAGGATCATTCATATGTTCTTTATAATTGTTTCTTCTTTGGACTGGTTTCTTATTTTCAAAACTGTATCAATAAAAATTTATTCTCTAAAACTATATTATGAAGAGAAGGATGAACACAATATGAGTAAAAAGTTTGACCATTCTAAAAATGGTTACAGATGTTAATGCTTATTGTTAAATTTTCCTGTAATTATTCAAATCATAAGTAAAAAAGACAATTTTCAATTCCTCTTTTGTATCTGATCTTTCAAATACTTAAAGCTCTTGAGTGAGCAAACAATAGAAATAATTAATTAAAGAGTGATTCTAAACTAATCAGTTATTAGGGAAGTCCTATAGAAATGTCTACCAATTTTGCTTATAATGATTTCTTTTAGAACTTAATTATTATACAAACTTCAGTTACAGATATAAAAAAAATTTAGTAAAGTTCAAATTTGAATTATACTCTTTAATTTCTTTTCAAAATCCTTTTTTCTTATTAAAATTAATGGCCAAGAAAATCTCTCAAAAATGGTTACTTTTCATAAAATATTCTGCTTCTCTTTCAATGTTGGATGTTATATTTGGACAATAAAATAGTTTGGAAGAGCAACTCAAACTTTGTTTTTATGCAAATGCAATTTCTCTAAATCATAATGAAGCAATATTATAATGACAAATCATTTGCTTTTATAATATTGCAACAGAATTATATGAAACAAGTTTGTGTTTTCTTTTTGCTTTTGCTCATTTAGTTTATACTTGACATCTATATTTCTAGTTGATCAACTGTTAACTATATTTTAATGTAGAATTTTTTTCTTGGAAGACTATAAACAGCATAAAGTCTACTGGTATATCTTTTTTCTGTTTTTTATGTTTTAAAGAAATCTGTTAAAGCTTTTACTCCCTGTCTGAAGGTAGGATTACTATAATTTACAAACCTCAAGCTAAGACAGTTTTCAATTTTATAAGTTTAGGTTATTGTGTAATAAAATGCTTTCATGACCCAATACAACATAAGCTTCTGGGCTGGTCAAACTGGGATGTATGATAAGCTTATCTGTAGGATAATAGTATGTTAAAGGTTATTTGTTTTATTTTAGTATATGCATATCTTACTAATGTTTATTAATCTGTTGAGACTGAATATTGAGACTGTCTGTTAAATAGTCCCTACAAATATCCAAAAATACAATTTAAGAAGCCAAGAGGGTATTTTAGAATTTAAAAGCTGATGGTGGCAGTGGGGACATTCTTCTATCGATACAGTAGAAAACAAAAGACTGGGAATAGCTAACTTCCTTAAACTATTTTTTTTATTTGTTATCCAATGAAACACGTTTTATGAGAATGACATTTGCTTAAAAATATTACAAAATAGTTTAGTATTTTATTTATTTGTTAATATCCTTTAATTTCTAAAGCAAATTATTTGGAAGGAATTCTGAAGATTTAATAAGATTATTGTTAAATATTTTACAGAATGTTATATTATTTCAAAATAATTTGGTAACTAATTTTCTCCAAATTATGTTTTCCATCTACTTAGCTGGTTTAAAGCCAGATATTCTTTCTATAGTATTTGTCAAAAGGGGTGTCTTGTGCTACTGAGTTGCATGTGTAGCTGCTAGCAGCCTTCTTTTTTTATCTACTTGTGTTTATACCAATTCTTCTGATGTATGGTTGCATCATGTTTTCCTCCCTCCTCACTTTCAGGAACGAATGTCTGCAATAAACAATGAAATGGTTAGCTTGAAAGAGAAACAAGATGAGATAAAAACCCAGCTAGCTGCTGCCAAAGACGCTGGTGATACCATTTTGTTGCAGAAGCTGCAGGGAAGTCGCGATCTAATCACATCTCGACAACTCCATCTAATGGCCGAGCAGAATGAAATTATCAAAAAGCAGCGCCGCTATGAACGGTATGTTGAGGCCAGCCACTGAATTCTTGCTTATCCTGTGTTTCTGCCCAGAACCTTGGCACCATGTAAGCTCACTGTTACCTGCACAAAAGTCTATCAAGTTTCCATGATTATGTGGGTTTTTGCAATCAGACAATTTTAATAAGTAAAACAAAGCAAAAAGCACAGAACAATTTATATTAAGGTTACCTATTTGATAGTATCTTTTTTTTATTTCTCTGTCAACTCAATTCCCATTGTTCTAGAAGAACATGGGTCTCTCATGAATGATATTCAAGAATTTGTGTGTTTGAGAAGAAATATTAAAATCCAGAAAGTTTTTTCAGTCCATCTGCCTGGCTTATGATCAGAGTATTACCTCAAAGCATGTATTCTTTGGTTAATCTTCACACTATATTGAGTTGAAATGTCTCATCTTGATCAACAGAAAAAAAACTTTATCAAAACATGGATTTATCAATTTCTCTCTATTTTTCTTAAAAATATCACATTAATTCCTAAACTCTTATTAGTTCACATCAGTGAATTTCAGACACTACTAAATTATACCCTGCCATAGGATTCCTTTACTTACAGATCAAACAAAACATTAATGTGCAACTGTGTCTCAAGAATTATTATTATGCAACCTAAAACTAAGCTAATCTGATCCTCCTTTTGACAAAAATAGCAAATATGATTTAGAAAAAATATTCAAGAGTGTTCTGAAATGTAATGTTTGAGTCTATTAACTTTTGCATCAATTTTTTATAATTTATACATTACTTTCACCTCAAATTTTGATAGTTCTCATAAGAAGATTAATTCAAATTGTTTCTGATAAATAATTTGTCTTTTTTACTTAAAATGAACAAGTGTGACTGACATGCCTGGATGCATTCTTTTAACAAATGCTAACATTCTCCTAATATCTTAATAGCTTGGTAAATTTATTTTCTATTATTATTATTTAATGTTTTCACTCTTTTTCACCATTTCTCTTAATAAATATTAAAATATCCTCCATCTGGTTTGAACATCTTCCTTTGTTTCTTCAGTTTTATATAATGTTAATCTATATAAGGCTAATATAAACATCAAAGTAACTGGATAATTTTTGTATAATCTCTTAATCCTTTCTCAGAATAGTTTAAAATAAGAATTTTAGTTATTTACTGATTAACAAGAATATTTTAAGGACTATTTTATTAAGTCTATTTAATCTGAGACCAAAGTGATGAAAAATCTTTGAAAAGACTAATTGATGAAGTTAATATTTACTTTGGGTTTTTGTGCTATATTTCTGACTTCTGTTTCATTATAAATAATGTTGTTTTATTCAATGAATTATTTGACTTAGTCTCTTCAATCTCAATTGTTTTGATCCCAGTATTTCAGTTATTGTTTTACTTAGCATTCAGTAATTGTCAAGGACCTCTGAACAGAATACCTTATCATTTTCTTTTTGTCAGTAGGTAAAGAAATTCACGATTCTAAGGGACAAAGATTTGTCTTACACTTAAAATCTTTATACTTTTGGAGTTGCAGTGAAAATTTGTTAAATTTGAGAGCGAGAGAGAGAGAGAGATAGGATTATTTTCAGAGATTTCTTGAGAATTACTGGATGTAATGTACACTTGAGGAAAACCAGGGAATACACTGGACAAACTAATAGTGACTGAAACAACAAAGATGAAGATATAAGTCTCAGTAATTTGTGAATGACAGTTCATCTTTTAGAACATCAGACAAGATTGTTTTATAATTTCATATATATCACAGAAATGTGTGTGGAAATATTTTTTAGTAATTGATGTATCATGCATCCTACAAATGAATTTATTAATTAGAATTGTTTTAAACTATAAAAAAAATGAACAAATTATTTGCTCATATATTAGCATTATTTTGTTGCTGTTTTAAATGTTTAAAGCTAATTAAATACAACTAACAAAAACATGTAATCTAAAAGTCCATTACACATGAAAATGTAAAAATTGCCATCTGTTTGACTATGAAAAAATATATATTAAAAATATTTAAAATTAATGTTTGTCATTTCAATAAAAAGTGTATGTTTTCTCCCAAAATAATATTTTAAAATATTTCTCATACAAAATTTGATTTTTGCCTTTTTTTAAAAAATAGATTTGATTTCTACATTTTTTCTTTTATTTACCTTTAATGCAATTCAGTAATAGTTTCTCATCCCTCTTTGTTATTGCTGCTTATTGGAATCTTGCTGAGGTTGTGCTGTGTAGTGATATTTTTTCCTTCTACATTTCTAACTGCTCTTATCTTGGATGCATAAACAAACTTTTAGATAACTCATTTCCTTTTTTTTCTTTCTTTCTCTTATTCCATACTTGTTTCTCTCTTTTATTCCTTTCTAGCTCAATGCTGCATCTTTGCTTTGTGTCAGACTAGCAGTTGTGGCTTGCCTTACTAATATTAACTAAAAAACTACTAACAAATTTTAATTTATATATAGGAATAGCTATGTCATGAGATTTGTCCAAAATATATATTATACAAAATATTTCTTTCATTGATAATGACTAAAGAGAGTTGAAAGTTCAGAACCATAATAAGATCTAACATGAACTGTAGACAATTCCTATATATCTTTATTATCAAGATAGAGAAATTAATCCATCAACAAGAAAAATTAATTTAAATATATACTAGATATAACTTGTCTGTTATCTCTGACAAAATTAGTTTGAATTAACATTTATTGCTTAATTAATAAGAAAAATAACTTCTAAAAGAAAAATTTAATGAAGTATACAGATGTCATTGCCAAGATTTATTATCTGATGTGGATGTGAGAGAATTTAATAAACATTTTACTGTTGTGATCACACAAGTTTTCTAACAAACTAAATCAATCATATTATAGATATATTTGTGAAGACTGAATTAATTTTTCCATTTTCAATTCCAAATAATTCTCATTTCAGGAAAATATAATCTTTTATAAATTTGCATAAGGCTAAATTTTGTCCCACCTTACAACAGCAGAACAAAACACCCTGCATCGTTTACTATCACCCTTTTATATATATTGCATTTACAACAGAAACAGTAACATTTAATTCATATAACAATTTTAAGGAATATATTTTCATGAATATTTCATATGTATTATTTATTATTCAAATTTAAAAAATTGCTATATATAAGCTATACTTTTGTTGAATTTCTTTTTTTTTTAATTTGTATTTGTATAGAAACAATTTTTATCTGCCATGTCAAAATTCAATCATAAGTTAGAAAAAAATATCTGTGTTTACTTTTAACGAAACAAGATAAATATAATCTTTGCTTCTAAAAGTAACGTTTTTCTTTTTCTTTTTTAGTTGTGGACATAAAGTAAATAATTTTTAAAATATTAAAAATTTTTATAGAATTCTATAATTTTAAGCACAGCAAAATTAGTTCTGCTTAATAACTATTGTTGTCATCTGATATTTCACGTTACTAAAAAATTAGTTGAGAAGAGCCAAAAAACATTTTATGAAATTATCTAAATAAGCCAAAACAGTTTAATTAAACAATTTTGGCTTATTTAGATTTTCTTAAAACTACCAAATTATTAGAACAAATGAAAATAGTAATTCAAAATTATTCAAATGTTTCTCTCATTGTCAGCTGTGTGTAGCTATGTCTAGAGTAGGAAATTCAAGTGGCATAATGACAAAATGAACTTGTGAAAATTAATGTCTTTAAAAATGAAAGCATAAATTTTATAGACTTTTATTAGAACTTTATTTTCTCTGTCCATAAGACAATTATTTGGTTATAGTTAAAAAATGTATAATTAGCTATAAATTAATTCAGGGGAAACAACTCAGTAAAATTATGTAATATTTATGTCCCTTGGAAAAAGAGGGGGGTGTAAATTTAAATACTTGTAGGATTCTTAAAATATGTATTGCTTATATTTACATTGTGTCAAATTGAAGAATTTTCCCAATCCCTGAAAAACATGAAACAATATAAAAGTTACAATGGGTAAGAAAATAGCCTGTTTGAAATTATTTCGACATGGACTACTTAACCAATTAGAAGTTTAGGATTGTTACAAATTTTATGCTTTCTCATCCAATTTATGCTTTCATTTTTAAAGACATTAATTTTCTAAAGTTCATTTTGTCATTTCATGCCACTTGGAGAATTTAGTTGAAACAGAAAGTTGAAATTACATTGAGAGGGAAGTTATAAATTTACAAATGTATCTATTTCTGAATTTAATAATATTGCCTGAATATTTACTGCCTATAATTGTTCATTTGATTTTCTTTTAAGGTTATTTTTTTTTTTTTAAGAGTTCAGTTTGAAATCCAGTAGAATAAATTTTCATTACAAGGGCTATCAAGATAATACTACTTGTTGTAACCAAGGGAAGGTTACTGAATAGAATAATCACATGGAGGTTGGTAATGAACGATAATACTTAGGACACAAACAACACATATAAGATTCACCAGCAGCGTGTAGAAGAAGTAGTCAACTGCTAGGAGTGAATCAAGTGAATTCCATAATGAATCTACAACTGCAGACCAACATGCAGTATTTACTACTGTATTTATGTAAATGGTGTTATACCCATTATCTTCTGTAGGTATGCTACAACACTGTTGATATACATCACATGACATCAAAATGAACTGTTTGTATTTGTATACATAGAAAAATGAACATATACAATTATAAATCTATCCCACTTGGTATTTGCTGCATTTATTTTTGTTTCATTCTTTAGCGTTTTAGCATGTCCTATTGACATTCAACTTCAAACAAAAGGTTAGGAAAGAAAACAGTATTTGAAAGAGAAATGCTGAATATTTCCTTATTAGAGAACAGTTAATATTAACATGACCATTACATAATATTGATCACATTTGGTCTAATTATTCATAAACTCTCCGGTCTGTAGGTTTTTTATTTTAAGAATTGCAATCACAGACTAGACTTTCACTTTATCTCATTCTTTTTATATAGTTCAAAGTATTTATAGTGTACCTCACAAGAGATTACGAACTATGATGATAGTCATTCTTATTTTTGCATTTCTTGTTAGATTTGACAAAACTCTTCCTATGTAATTGTAAATTATCATGAAGTCATTCTCACTTTAACAAGAATGAAAATCATTAGTTTTTATAAAATACGTTTAAAAAGAAATCATTTACTTGTAAAAGAATACCCTGTTTTACATTTTGTTTTAAAAATCTCATTGAAATTTACTTTTTGATTGAAATATTACTTATTTCTCTAAGCAGTTTATATTTTATCTAAATTTTACTGCTAAAAATGTCTGTTTTAAGTTTTTCATATCTTTTATTTCTAACATTGTAGATACCAAATGAAGAATGCTGTCCGTTGTGGTAACAATGGCAAAGAATATAATGATGATGAAGCTACAGGTATGAATGGTGTTTGATTCATCATTTTTCTTTCTGAATTCACTTTAACTACCTCTGTCTACTGTTTGTGTAAACCTCAATATCTTATTCTTTTTATGCGTCCTTGGATCAAAGTCATTCATGTAAGCTTAGCATTACTTTTTACTTGCTCACCCTCTTCTCAGATAGTTGGTCATTTCTTTCTTTCAATTTTTTTCATATGCTTAGTTTGTATATTTTAGGAAACACATAAATATTTTTATTGGCTGAGAACAATCAAGATATTTTTCATGAATATTTGTTAAATCTTTTATTCTTTATCTTTCCACTTTAACAATGTTTTGACTGCATTTTTTCTATCTTACTTCTATTCACAGTTCTCTTTGTGTTTTTGTGCAAAATATTTCCTTATTAATATTTGATCAAGTGGTTACTAATAAGTACATAATTATAATTATTTCTTGGCAACTTGAAATTTTATGATGTATGATTTCAATATGAAATATGTAAACAGATGCCAGATAGCCACTGGTGAGATTCTGAATCTAATTGAGATATTCTTGGAGTCATTGTAATAATGCAAAGCATAGTAATTTTAAAATACTACATTAATACCGAAAGATATTTTAATTTATTTCTATGTAGATACAAGATATTTGACAGTTGTGACAATATGGCATCAAATTTAGCTCATGATGATGTGTGTGCGTTGCAATACATACACAGACATAAATACACATTCTATATAGGGTACAAATTTTATCTCAAAATAGAGCCTACATCTACAGGTATCATCTTATTACAAAAAGGTTGCCAACATGAAAATAGTCATACAAGTTAATACATTAAAAGATGAGAAAAAAACAATTATTAAGTGAATGCATTAAATGTAAAAGTAGGTTGGATGTGTGCTTAGTACCATTATCATCATAGAAAGTAGAATTGGCAAGTCAAGTTCAAATTCTGGCTTTCATACTAATGCCCTCTCAAAAACATGAATCCACCTCTTATTTAAGAATTAAATAGCATAGACTGGATTTTCTAACTTTGGATGGCAGCTATTGTAAGAGAAAGAATTATTTGAATTCAAAAACTTGGAGAAGCAACTGGAAAGCATTCTGCTATTTTTTCCAAAAAATCATGGCAATTAACAAGTCAATAAAAAAGGGATCTGTAACAAAAGAAAATTTCTCAGTTAAATATTTGTGAAGAAATGAATTAATCTGAATTTATCATAATCTTCCTAGAAATGTTTCAAGTTGTGAATACAGGTCTCACCAGTGAATAAATGTATTTGACAGTCTTTTACATATTCAGTGTATGAATGCAAATTTATAATTTTTATGTTAAATTGTTATAGTTATTTATTTCTTCTGCTTTTATCTTTGTATGTGTGTGTGTGTGTGTGTCGTATAATTCTGTCTGTACCTATTGTAAAAGTTATCAATCTTTTCAAATAAGTTTTTATTACAAAAACATTAATTAAAAAAAACTTGTAATCATCATAAATAAACCCACATATATGCATACATCTGTAATATGTCTAAATATACCTACATCTGTGTGTTTAACCATGCTATTAAAAATGCTAGCATATTTTAAGTTTTTACTTTTATTACTTTTACACATGTGAATAATTTATACATGAATACATTGTCAGTGTAAGATAATTCTGAGCAAAAACAGATACAGGTATTACAGACAAAAGCATTTGGTTATATATATATATATATATATATATATATATATAACCAAATGGATAAATATATAGGTAAATATAGCAATAAAATACCTTGTGATAAAAGAAATATTAAAAAAGTGTTAATTCAAAAAATTGCACTGACAAATACAGAAAGTAGGAAATTACAAATTGTGCAATCAATATAAGACATTATGTATATATCTTTTTATATATATATATAACAAAAGGAAAAAATTTCTTTACCAATGTGTTTTGGCCTCTGAAGAACATTTTTTTTACACAAACACACACATACAAGTTTGGTTAAAGACCAATGAAAGTTCTTTGTTAAAGATTTTTTGTTTATTTTTTCTATAATTTGGAGTATTTTCCTGGTTTTTGGTAAAACTTTCAACATAAATTGTCTGATATTTGAGTACTTTTGGCTTTCATATAAGCTATTGTTAGAGAGTTTGGGCATTTTTTGTGTTATGTTGGTTTTATCTTTTTTCAAATATTGCATCTTGACATGTCATTTCATTTTTTTTTTTAAAGTATCACATCTTCATTACTGGTTAGTAAGGTGCATATTTTTTTATTAAGTTATGAAACATATTTAGTATGTTTATTCCAAGATTTAATAAAATTTGATATTTTTTTTAATCATTGTAGCCCAAACAAGGCAATAAAGCCACTAAAATGCAAGGTATTAATGAGTGTGAAAGAATATGGAAAAAAGAAAAACATTAAGGAAGGAAGGATAACAATAAATGAACAGGAATTAAGAAGACAGAAGATAACAATTGATGTTGCATTTAAAATTTTTGAAGATGAAAGTTGACTGGAAAGTAAGAATTCAGAAGAGTATTACACAAGCAAGATGCTTGAGAAAAAACTGTTCACATAAATCTTACAGCTACATCTATCAATTTCAACTGAAAAATGGTGAGATCTAGCTGCTAATCTAATACTGTGCTCAAATCTGTAAAGTTGAGCTATCAAAGAGGAAAGCTCAACAGAATAATTACCATGAAACTATTTATAGAAAAGGCAAAGGGAAGCTACATTATGGCAATGGGAAAATGACTGAAGTCGAGATGCCAGGTCAGGACCAATAACATTACAGATTATTCTTTAGATTTTGTCAAGAATCTCTAAATACATTGCAGCAATATCCAGTGTATGAATGAATGATAGACTTAGGTGTAAGATAGATTCTGGCAAGAAAAATGGTGAAGCATGGCTAAGTGAACCATCTTTCCGAGCAGCAGACCTAGCAATTGATTCAATATAATCTTTCCACTTCATGTCAGCGGAAAATGTTAACCGCCAAGAAAATGACTCATTTTGCCTTCTCAAGCTATCATCAGCCATGCTGAGGAAAAGCAAAAAATGTTCTCTCAGATGATTAAAAGAGAACAGTTTTATTTTGTAACAATTACAATTAATAAGATATTTCTTGCCTCGATTAATAAGAGATTGAAGGTTATTTTTGAGATTAGCTACCAATTTGACCTTTTTGAACCCATCAGATTTAGTCCAGCATCCCAACACTGTCAGATGCCTTCAAGATATCCAAAGCAACACTATTCTTATCTAAAACTTGACAGATTCTTTCAGCAATAGCTGTTAACACATCAGCAGTTCACTGAGAGAAGCAAAAGCCACATTGCTTGTCTGAAAGAAGAACCTGCAAGGTGAGGTGTTTACTGAATTTGGATTTGATTAGAGCCTCTTGTACTTTGCCACCAGTAGTTGCAAGAACCAAACTTGTTAGTGGCTATACAGTGTCTCATTCTGTCAGCAAACAAAGACTTAGCCTCTTTGAGGATATGTTTATAATTATTATAAGCAGACACAAAAAGTAGTACAGCTGAAAAAAATGATTCAGGTGGGCTATAGCAGGTGTAAACCTAAAACAAAACTGTGGTTTCACTTGGTATTTCCAAGATGGCATAAACGTATCAATGCTGGTTTTTACCCAAAAAGAAACCTCAGTGACACACTTCTAAATGTAAATGGTTAAAAATTTCACTCCAGTATTATTAATGTTTGATGTGTGAAGACAAACAAATTATATATTAAAAAAATAGGACAAAAAAATGCAAAAACTCTGACAATGATTTATAAAAGCCAAAAGTATTAAGACACCATACAATTTACATTCAAATTTTCACCAGAAACCAGCAAAATGCTCAAAATGTTTCAAAAATTAAAAAAAAAAATAAACAAAAAATTCTTAACAAAGAACTTTTGTTGGTCTGTAACCAAACTTGTATAAATAAAAGTTAATTCCAAGATACACCCAGCATATATATATATATATATTATTTATATATATATATATATATATATATATATATATATATATATTTCAATTAAATTCAATTGAACTCATCCAGACATTAAAATAAGGAAAATGTTACAAATATGTTTACTCCTTTTTACACACCATGCATATAGACGATGATATAAGTAAATTATTTACTTTATCTGTTATATATGTATAAAAGTGAATACTATTATATTAACATACATTCACACACATATTAGGCTTGTCTGATTCATACTGCATTAATTTACTGTAAATTATTAGTTGGCATTCATTTGTCATCAACTACAGACACTGCTGGAGACTCTCAAAAACTAAATCATTATTGTGTGGTTGTGTACTCTGAATATATTTGTAACAGACATGTATCTGTGTGTGTGTCTGCTAAGCTTTATTTTGTCTTTTTTGTTGAAATACATGATGCATGTCCTTTTTATTTTTTCATGTATATATGTATGTGTGTGTGCGTGTGTAAATCATAGATGAGCTTGTCTGAAAAATCTAGATTTATTGAAACTTTTTTTTTTTTTGGTCTGATCATGTGACAATATTTCCTTGTTTGCTTGTTTTCTTCTGCTTCTGTTTCTTGTCATGTGGATAGATAGTGCTTCTCTCTCTCTGCTGTATTGCACATAGTTACTATTTCTTTTTGGCAGGGCGGGGTGTGTCCCTAATAAAGGAATCGCCCAGAAAGGGTAAGTTTCACTTGCCACTGTTATATTATAACAACTTTTCAGAGTCCTTTGGGGAGATTGTGTTGCTGGGTGTCTTTTTAGTAATGCAGTTCTGCTGCTTCCTCTCTCTGTATTGTATAATTGTTTACAATAAAATGTCAACTTTATAATTGTGATATTTATTGGTCACATCAGAGAGAGAGAATGAAAATAAAATAATGGATGCGCCGTGATTTTATTTATTAGTTGATCTTTCTTCATTAGCTCAGCTCACTACCAATGAGTCTCCTTATATTAATTAGACTTATTAATTTCCAAAAGGAAAGAGAGCTATTACTATGATCCTCCTATTTTATAATACATGTCATGTGACTAGGGTAATGTGATCATATTGTATCATATACCTTTGTTGACTGCAAATCCAGTACACTCATGTTTGCATACATACATTTCTCTCTCTCTCTCTCTCACACACACACACACACACACACATATATATATATATATATATATATATATATATATATATATATAAACAGCAAGTATTCATCCAAACAAGTTTGATTAAAAAGAGTTGACAAGATCTGTCTGTTTAATTTTTTATTGTATTTTTCCAATTTATGGATAAGGTGTTGATTAGTGTGCTCAAAGTTGTGGATAAACTGTCCAAAGTTCATATTTTGTTCAATTACTTCCAACTTTCACAATCATTATCAAGAGCCAATGTGGTATTTGTATGGTAGTTAAAATTCCTTTGTTTGCATACTGATATTCTTTAATCTGGCTGTTTGAAATGGTCTAGCTTGATGTCATGTGTAATGGCCATTGGAAATGAGATTGCACAAATACACTGTGATTTTTTTATTTTTTTATTTTATGACACTAATAATCAAAAAAACAACATTAAATACCTATATTGGGCACATGTGCACGACACTCTCTCACAAATTGACCATCGAAACTGTCAAAACTTTGTGCAATACATACACATATCAATCAACGCATCATGAACATCCAAAGTACAACTACAGTGTAACCTGGATATAAGAGAAACCCGGATATAAGAGAGATTTTCTCTGGTCCCAAATTAGAGCCTGTGTTAACTAAACAAAATAGACCAAACCCGGATATAAGAGACTTCTTCTCCGGTCCCGACAACTCTCTTATATCCAGGTTACACTGTATCAACAAAAGTACAACTATTAACATACTAGTAGATAGCACACAAAATACTCTACAGCAACCAATGCAGGGAAAGACTTAAAACTCTAGAAGTTATTATTATACAATATAAACAGCCCATATTAAATAAAATATCATTCATAACAGAATAAAGTATCTTAAAAGTGCATATGATATAATTAATGTGTGCATATATTTTATCAGTATTATAATAAAATAACAAATAAAATAATTGAATAAATCACATTCTCCCAATAGCTGTTACACATGACATCACACTAGACCATTTCACATGTTCAGCTTCCCAAAGAATACCAAAATGTAGACAAAGGAAATCTAACTACCACACAGGCACCACATTGGTTCTTGATAATGACTGCATGACTCAATAGTACTTGAACAAACATAATGAAATATGAACTTTGGACAGTTAACACTTTATCTGAAAATTGGAAAAATATAATAAAAAATTAAACAGACAGACCTTGTTGATTCATTTTAATCAAACTTGTTTTGTGTGTGTGTGCGTGCACACACACACACACATATAAAAACTGAGAGAGGGAGAGAAATAGATTTAAAGAATTGCATCAGACATTTTTAAACAAAAGAAAAGAGAAAAAATGGCTCATAATCAGTTTAGAATAAGAATAATTGGTATCTTATCTGATAAATATTACATTGTTGCTGCATAATTTGTTGAAGGAAGCCAAGATTTTAAAATGTAAGGGATGAGAAATAATTGCAGTTCCCATAAAAATGTGATTTTGCATTTTATTATAGCATCTTATACAACTATCATAGCAACATGGAATTTTGTTGGACTGACATTAAAAGACTTAAAGTTTGTTTCCTGACATATTTATCTACTCTTACTTAATATCCTGTAGATTATGTAGAAGAATATTCTTTTAATATTGATATAGATACATTACCATGTTAGTAGCATGACATGCATTTTATGATTTTGACTGTAGGCTTTGTTAATTAAATCATAATAATTTTCTTTTACTGCTTAGAATTTACAAAGTGAAAGAGATTCAGTATGATATAATGTATCCATTTTATTACTTAACAAAATAACTGTCAGCTAAAATAGTTTAAAAATCAAATTTTTTATTTGCAATTTGTTGTTTTTAGGTTGCGTTTTGCATTTAGATATCTTCTAAAATTAAAATATAGCTAGTTATTACAAAATTAGATAAAATGTTAATGTTTTTTCCCAGATTCCTTTCTTATTCTAGGATAGTGTCATACTTAGATTCTTTATTAACATTTTTATTGATCAACCTTAAGCATTGCTTGATATCTTGTTGTTAATTTGATTTTAAATTGTCCTGATTTGTCTATATATATTTGTTTTGTTATATAAGAAATCTACTTTGTTTAACTTCTAAACTAATCAGATACTGTAAAAATTCTATAATGTATATGTATGTCTCTATTTGCTTTGATCAAATCCCATTAGTACCCAAATATTATATTTTACAATTTGTTTATTTTGCATTCTAGGTTTCTACTTTATTATAATTCTAAACTGTGTGTGTGTGTGTGTGTGTGTGTGTGTGTGTGTGTGTGTGTGTGTGTGTGTGTGTGCTAGATTTCACTAAAAACACATAAAACTGAAATCCTAAAATACTTAAAGCTCACTTTAATTTAATTTTCATTGAAAGCTTGTAGTTTTTTTGTATGCAGAATCTCTTCTACATAGCTACTATTGTATGTTGTAGGGGACTTGATTAGTGTATTTCCAGCTACAGGTTAGGAACATAGACTGGCAAATTTAACAGACTCTGCTTACTAGCAGGCTGAATGTATTCTGTGAAGTAGGCTCCCTAACTGTGTGCTTATGGGAAGGACTAGTGAAATAGTGAAGTAAAATTCTCTTATATCTTATTAAACCCAAATAATAATGTCCTAACACTTTCTTTTAAGGTGGGTGTCATAGGTAACTCACTTTTCTTCCTATGTATAAAGATTTAGACTTTAGGCTGGTTTTGTATATAACATATCCTCTGTGAATTATAATAAAAAATGCAGACGAATCATAGAATTATGCATAAAAGGATTTTTTTTAAAAAAGAGTTAGTAAAGAATTAATTGGCTTTAAGATGATGCAAAAGTAAAACATTTTTATTTTCCTCAGCATTTTTCTTAAGATGAAAAAATTGTCAAATAGGTTTCCCAATAGTGATACTTTTATTCTATATTCTCAGTTAATAGTGTTACACTTTAATAAGACTAAACTCACTCCAAGATAAGAAAGGTATTTTCTTTTGGAAAATCTACTATTTTAAGTGCATTTTAGAGTCCTAAATAAAAGCTCAGCAGCCCCATTCAGTTGTATTTGACTTGAAATAATTAGTTCAAAATTTTGTAAAATGCAAATATCAATAATGAGTGGCTGAAACATAATCTTAAATATTAGTCAGTCTTGTGAGCAAATGAGAAACATGACATTCTTATGCAGAATTGATAAATATGAAGTTATAAAAAAATGAAAGTTATTTTATGTGTAATAATTAAGTTCCTAAAAAACTTTTTTAAGTCTTTCTAGTAAAATATGGATCTTTATTTTCTTCCAGCATATTATTATAATGTAACAATAGCTAATTTCATATACAGTGTTTATCTATATTTTACCACTTGGCATTCTACAAAACAAACTCTCAAAATATATGAACATCATAAATGTCAGTTTATAAATTTTATTACTCTATAATTTGTTTTTTTTTATTACATGGTAGAGAATATTTTTTACCATATAATAAAAATAATGCATTCTACAGTATTATGTATTTGTTTAAAATTTCCATTTTATATTAGTGACAAATTCATCTGTATATTTACATCAAAGGAAATAAACAATAATCTATCACATAATTGGTATAATGATAACATAGTAGAAGTAGTAGTAATATATATATTTGAGCTATTATCTAAAGGAAACTACCTGAAATGTTAGCCTTTGGTCTTTACTCAGTTCTGTTTACTTTTACCTTTTCATTTTTGTTATTTTCTATTTTATGAGTGTTTTAAGAGTGTTTTTTTTAAAGGCAAATGCTTCACCTAATCTGTCATCTTCTTTTTATTGTAGATTCCTCCAATTTCCCTAGTGGTTGCTCATCACCACTCAATGATTCTCAGGATGGAGAAAATTATTTTGATTTTACCAAAAGTGACTTATATACTGCTACTCAAAAGAATGCTACAAAATTGGTGCAAGACACTCTTTTTGACGAAGGTCTGCGTATTGCCCAGCAGTATGGAATGGCAGACTTTGCTGAACAACTGATGGAACTGCAACAGCAAAAACCCAAAAGTAACAACTCTGCTCTAAAACCAAAAACTTTTGACAAAAAGGTCAATGGCAATTGCAGCCACAAGAGTAATGGTAATGAAACTGAAGATGATGAAGTGATGGCTGATGAGGATGATGATGTAGTGGTTGATGAAGATAATAACAATACCACTACCACCACCACCACCAACAACAACAACAACAGTAATAATAGCAACAGCAGCAGCAGCAACAACAACAACAATAGCAATAGAAGCAACAGCAATAGTCGCTGTCCCTCTCACAGTGGGAGTGGAGGGGAAGATAGTCCATGTAAGCCACCTGCACAGCTACTGACCAAGAACAATGGGGTGGCTGATACTGACAATGAAAATGGTACAAATGACAATGTGATTCATGCTGGCTGTCACATTCGACATGAAAGAGACGAAGAGGAGGAGGAGGAGGAAGAGGAGTATTATAATGAGGGCAAAAAGATGTTAATGGAAGAGTCAGTTGCAAGTGAGATGCTGCTTCGAGACACAAGGCTCAAAGAAAGCAGCAAAAACTATTTAGGTGGGGCTATTGAACATAACATTCTCCAGAATGGAGAGTGTGCCAACTGACTGCATTTCTAATTATCCCCCACCTCTGCCTGCTCATTTGCTGAGCTGCAGGGAAACATCCATAACACTGACAAAACTATAAATAAATAAATAAAGACACAAACTTACCTAAATGTTGTGTAAGTGAAGAGGACATATTCATATCAATGTAGCATCGACAATGCAAGCTGTGATAGCGCTGGTGAAGAACCCCATAACCAAGAAAGTAGAGCGCCTGCCTAGTACAAATGCAGGGTGAGAAAGCCATGCTGGGGTCTGCCCATTGCCTGGTCATTTGACCACTCTTGTACAAATTAAACAAAACAAAAGCTGATTGTTGTGGGTGAAAGAGAATGTGGGAAAAAATAAGCCAACCAAAACAAAAATGAAAAAAAAACAACAAAAACAAGAAAAATATTTGTTTTATGCATGTGTCATGTTTGTATGATCTATTTTTAAGAGGACATAATATATTTACTACAGGATTTCATATTTATTTTTGGGAGGGCATGCAGAATTTGTGGTGTGATTTCTTTTTCTTTTCTAGAGAGGCGGCATGGAAAGCCACTTTTGACAGGTGGTGTTTTTTTTGTTTTTTGTTTTTTTTGTTTTTTTTTTCCACATTTCTTTCTCTCTCTCCCTAACTAAAATCCTTAAAAAAGACTAAAGCAGAAAAAAAAAAAACAAAGAACTAAATTATATATCTAATAACTGAGAGTATGGAAAAATCTTGAAAGTTTTCTAAAATTAGTTTGTTTCCTGGAGATAAAATATTTGGGTCATTATTTGAGGGGTCCATGCTGAAATTGGCTGGCTAAGCTTTTACATTTACCTCAGACTGCTTTTAGATAACTGCAAATATGTCTTACCACATCCCATTGCTTGTGGGTTTTTTTCTCTACATCTGAATAGAGAAGAAAACTTTTTTTTATGTTTTGGCTTAAAGGTTTTAAAAAAAAAACAGCCATCCTAATTTTATTTATAATTCTGAATTTGAATGAAATCATCAAATTTGTTGTTTACTTGTATGGCAATTTTTTCTTTCTTTTTGACATTTGTCACTTACTTTCATTTCTGCTTTTCTCTATTTAAGTAAAACTTACCTACAAATCATGCAAACACATCTTGTAGGCTTTTCAAATACACAACAAATATCTAAAAAAATATTAATCATATTCTTTTGTCATTATTTCATTTATTTACAAGAAATACTTCCATTTCAAATCAACAGAAACTATCTTCTTTTTCTCTATATATCTTTTTCCATTAATCATATTTTGATCCTTATCAAATCTTTCAATTTACAAACCATCTGCATGTAAAGTTTATCACAATAACAGCTGTAGTTATCAGCCACCTCTCTTTGGCTCAGCAATGCAATTAAGACCTCCATTTCAGTTATTTCCACTTTATATGTATTACCAAAGGATTTTATTTCATCCAACTGTTTCCATTCTACAACAAGTATAAATATGCTTACCTTTTATTGTTGATTATTTTTAGTGGATATAGCTTTGTTATTCATTCTTTGCTTAACTGAATGCCACACATATTTTTATTTGGAATATCCTTGAACATTATACAAATGAAGTGTTGAAAAATGAGTTTAATTTGTTAGCCAGTAAGTGGAAATTCTAGTAAAACATACAAATCTGCAAAGAACTTGGTAGTGTTACAAATATCAATGGGAGAAGAAATCAAAGTCTGCAAGAAACATATTTCTTTCTACTTCAGAACCTCAGTACCTGAGGGTTGGAATCTTTTGTCTTACTAATCAAGAAAGGCAGTTCAGAAAGCTGACTTGATAGAATTTAATATCTTCTCACTATTTTTCTATTCCTCATCAGTATTTATTCAACACAGTGCCAATTTGTTTTTCTCTGTTCCTTTTTGTTAGATCAATACTTAAACACTAGGGGTGAGTTTGAAACAAGTTTAGAATTTTATTTTTATTCAATGTTTTCAGATACCTCCATTTTTGTTTTTATATGTTTAGTAAGACCAAGTAACACTCACACCTGCATTTGATTTTCAAGATTAAGAAATCAAGAACTAACTGAGTTAGCAGCTAGTATCTTTGTGCAGCAGGTTCATGTAACTGATTTCTGTTTAAAAGGATATTTTGTCATGAGAGGATTTCTATTTCTTTTTTTAAAGGCTCATATTTTGTTTGTTATAGAATTTGTGAACTAATTTTATTTAATTTTACATTTTTGTTTTTCACTTTTTGATATTGCTCATTTGTAAACTGTTAGCTGTTTCATGATCTATTAGAAATAGGTTTTCTTGTTAAAATGTACTTCCATTCAACTTTTTATCAAGTATCTCTTTTGTCATTTAAATACATAGAGATTTGCATGCATATATACAAATCTACAATAAATCTTTATTTACCATCTGCATCCTGCTTATATATTTAGTGACTGCTTAAATGGCAACTGTAAGAGAGAACTGAATTAGACAAAGCATTTTCATAGGAACTTTCTGATGCAAATTAACTAGGATAGTTAAGAAAGTGCATATACAGATGTGTATATTATAAATGGGTAAAAGAAATGCTGGGGTTGATCAGAATATTTAAATACTAGTCATATTTTTGTATCTGTATTTTCTACCTAATTAAATAGTAGGTTCAAAATATATTTGTTTATTGTACATTTAACTATAAATATCTCCCATATTTACTTATCAAATATTTATTGTTTTTGAGGACAAATCAGTGTACATGTTTTTATCCATGGTTTTACTTAGCAAACAGAGGTAGTAATAATGCATTTTGGGACATACAGAACCAATTGGCCTATTGAACATACAAATCCAGTAATATTGCAGTTTGTTGAAATTCCTTAGCTGCCAATACTGAATGGATATTAGATATTTCCCAACATTTTTGATGGAGATTTTCATTCAGTTTCTTTGAGGAGTCTGGTACAAAATCTGAAATTGTGAAAAATATTTATGAAGTTTGCACATCCACAAACATAAAAATCAATTTCAGTTGCTTTTTTTGTTTTTAACATTTTTAGAAACAAAATACTCCCTCATTTTTATGAATGCTTATCCTTATTCAATGATTACCATAAATATTGTGTGAAAAATTCTCCATTATTAATGTTTTTTATAAAAATGTTATTACTTTTGCCCAAAACAAAAAAATTAATTTCCTTTTGTTCTTTTGATCTATTTTATAAATTAATAACTAAATTATGAAAATGCCGAGTTTGACTGTGTGATGGTTTTGTATAACTCAGTAACTTCTTCAACCCTATTTTATCTCTCCGCCACTCTATTATTGTCTCCACAAATAAGTTATCCGTCCAGTTCTGTCAAATATAGTTGGCAATACTTTTAGAAACTGTAATTTATTGTAAGATGTATATGATTGTTTTTTACCTCTTACATCTGTGTATGATCTATTAGCCATTACCATTATTTCTCTATAATAATGACAACATAATATAATTATCTCTACCTCTCTCTCTTGCCTTTTTTTCCTCTGTAGCTTCTCTTGTTGCCTCTGTCTTATCCCTGCATTAAGATCTGCCATGCCCTCCAGAATCCATTGTCATTTTCTTTTTCAGCAGATTATCAGTTTTTTCATTTTAATTTATAGATTGTCCAGTCTTTTTAATGTCAATACTTTACAGAAAGAAAAAAAAAGAAACAGAAAATGGTTAATATTTTTAAATAATAAATTTGTCATTTTTGTAATTTTCCATAATCAGTATCATAAGACCCTGGCACTTTACAAAGTCTTTTCGTGATTCTTTAATGAGGAGAATTTTTCATATGACCTTTTTTTCTAATTCAGTGTATAATTTTTTTCATAGACCCTCAACATTATGACATTTTAGTTCTTGTTTTCAATCAGAGGATGGATATAGTTTGGCTTCCATTTTTATGCTGACACACATTCAAACACTAAATATTCATCAGATTATATATGCATTTGACTTGCTTTGGAGATGAAATGCCTTTCCTTTCTTGGATTTTGAGGTGCTGAAAACAAATATTACCATAAAATAATCAGTTTGTCCCTATTAATAAAAAAATATTTTCACATGCATAAGTTTATGTTCTGTAACAAATTGTTACTGACCTGCATTTAAGAAATCTTCTTTTTTTTTCTAGTAAATATCTTTGCAGTTCTTCCTTAAAGCAAGAATGCTCAACACCATGTTTTATATACAATGCATCCATTTGACTATTTACATCATTTTTTTTTAATTCAGTCTCCCAATTCTCATTTCTGATATATCTACACTGTTGACCAATGTTGGAAAATACTTATTCTTTTTTGAATTCTACATTTCATCAAATGTTTCATGAAAAAAAATATATTACCATTAATAACAGTTAGATATTCTTTTTCTTCTTGGTAGACTTAAGTTTTACTGAACTTAATTCTTAATGGAAAAGGATTATTAATAAGGACTCATCATGAAAAGCTAATAGCTCTTTAAATTAACTGAGCATATACCACTTCTTCTGTCATAGCCATAGAAAATTGTTTTGTAACTGATAAAATATACTTGACTTAAACCATTTGATTCAAAATGCCAAACAAAATTCAATGAAAATATATCTATATCTATCAACACTATCATGTTAAGATACAGAATGAATTTATTTTCAACATTGACATGTTTGCCTTTTTTTTAATTCACTGATTTCTTTTTATAGTATTCATCAATTAGAGCATTTCTTTCTTAATATAAATGACTTTCTATTTCTTCCTAAAATCCATTCAAATAGTTTTGCTTTCTTAATTTATACTTTTAATTATTTCATTTGATTTATTTCTAAATTAGGATGCTTATTCAAATGTTCCTTCCTCTCATCAGTACATACCTTTTCTATACACAAATCTCTTCAGTAACTGAACTTTTAATACTTTAAAGTTAAACTTTTTAGTTAAAAGTTTTTATCAAAATAATTTCCTGAAAAATAAAAGATACAATTTTGTAAGTAATATACAAAATCCCCCAATCCTTAGTAATATGTACATCTTGTAATATCAATAATTACCATGGCAATCAGTATTTTCTGTCCTTTAGGTTTCTCAGGGAAGTCTCTACAAGCTGAAGTGTTTTAAGTCCAATGGAAAAACCTGATAGTATGGCCATATGTAGATTTTTCAGAAATTTGTAAATAGACAAATTGTTTGTGCCAAGCATTCAATATGAGTTGGTAAAGCATTTCAGATGTTTATCTTCAAGATTCATTCTCTGCTGTAGACAATTGCCACTCTGCTGAACATCATTATCAACCTCCTCTTATCTTTAGGATTATTTACTGCCTCGTCTTGCCATTTTATCTCTTGATTTTTCTTGTGCCAGCCTCCAAATGTCAGTGATTTCATGCTTCTTCAATATTTAAAAAAATGTTAGCTCCAATTATGCCTAATGGACCTGACAAACCATCTTACGATGGGGTAGGAAGGGAGGTAATGATAGCAAATAATCTACAGGGTTATGCTCTTAAAATTCAATTGAGATATCTCTGGAGAGAATTTAATGCAAATAATTTGTGTATTTATTATTAGCATATATTACCTTTTAAGATTTATGAATAAAGAAAAATATTTTAAATTTAAAAAAAAAAATAAGACATTTTTTCAAGAAACAAAGAAAGGATGAGGATGAAGCCAATGAAGGAATTTGCTTATATGTTTTTGTTTTACATTTTTCCTAATTTCTCTGTTTTTATTTTTCATTTTATTTGAAAATCTTTCTTGCCTTATTATCTTAAAATATATTTTGTTTATAATATCTTAATAATTAGCAATGTTAGTTTGTAATGTGTGTGCATATGAAGAAGGAAAGTAGATGATGGTGATATGAACCCATCCATCCTCCTAGAAATACTATTTCTTATTTTTTTTTTTTTTTTTTTTTTATATATATATATATATATATATATATATATATATATATATATCTTTGATTCCTCTACTGCTTCTCTTGCCACACCTCCCTGGGGAACATTAAACTCTTCACAAAAAAAATCTACACAACATATATTCCAAAGAATCCCTCCTATAAGTCAAAATTCATATAAAGCATTGAAGGAAGCAGGAAGAAAAAAGGAAAAAAAATTAATTTCTTTTTGTATTTTTTTTAACATTTTATTGAAATATTTTTTCTTACTTTTCAAATTGAATGGACGAACAGATTTTGATATGAAAGAGAGCAAAGGATTTCATACATCATTCATTCTGTTAGCTTTGTAAACAAAATGCAGTTTAAAAATATTAAAAATAAAAAAAGACAAACATTTTTTTCAAAAATGATAATTCATTATAAATATTTGGAAGCAATTTTCTTATTCATCATTTTTTTTTTTTTAACAGAATTATAATTGTCATTATTATTTTTTACCATTATCCAGATGTTTCTTAACATTTTTTTCACCTATTTTCCATTAATTATCTTTCCAAAACTTGTTTTTACTTGTGGCTCTCATTTTTCCTATTAACCATTCAACCACCACCACCAGCAGCAGCAGCAGTAGTTACATATTCTCACATGAAATATCTTCTAACAAACATCTCCTCTCCAACAACTGCTATGGCTTGGTAACATGATTTTCCATTAAAGAAAATTGATTTTTAAAGCTGGATTCAAAGGCCTAAATTCAACTGCATAGCCTTTTGGCAATTATTTAGTGCATATATCTCTGAAGGATAGATAACATAATGGTTGGCATTTCATTTATGAAGGGCAATTAAAAAATTGATAAAATATTCATTTTTTAACATGATATATAGTTTAAGTTCAACAAAAAATCTTCCAAGTAACTGTTTTCTAATCAGTTGTGGTCATTTAAATCACTTCTTCCTTCTTAGTTTGGTTCATTTGCAAATAGGCAAAATTTTACATTACAGCACTCAAGTGTTTTTGTCCTTCTGGCAATTACTGATCAACTTTTTGGTAGTTCTGTTTTTACAAATCAATATAAAAAGAAATTTAAATGTCAATTTTCTTTTGGTATATACAGAGTCCAGATCTGTTTTATGAGCAAATTGAAAAGAAAATAAGAAACTCTTTTTGTCTCTTGATAATTGTATGTAGCCAGTTGAAACATTATAATAAGAATTTATTGTAGCCATTATGAGATTCTTCTTTCCTTCAAAATTGCTCAGGAATGGATGTAATTTTGATTTTCATTTATATAAACTCTTCTCAATCACAAATACTTTTATGATAAAATTAAAAGAAAAAGAAGAAAAATAAAAGAAAATGCATTTTTTTTATCCTTTGAAAGTGAATTAGTCATTAAATAATCCATTGCTTCCATGTCATTATGCCTGAAGATCTACTAAACTGTATATCTGCAGCATTTGAGATGAGAGAGAAAAGAGAGTGATTGTCACCAAACCATTTGTGATTACTTTGGTGTTACTACCTCTCTTTATCAATGTCTTCTACCTCTTTCATGTCACACAGTGCTTGCCAACAACTCTCTCCTCATGTAGAGCTGCTAATTGATATTAGCCCCAGCCTCTTCAGGCTTGACCAACTGCTTTGTAGCCAGCTATTTTTAACTGGATGAAACTCTTATCTATTTTGCTTGCAATGCCCTTTTTTTCTTTTTTTTTTTCTTTTTTAGTACTTTATTTTAATCTTTATGATAATGATTAAAATACATTTTAATACAACACTTACAAATAAAAATGACAACTTAAAATCAACATTTTAAATATAGCTTCTGCTGCTGGGGGTAAATATAAAAGATATTGACACATTGGATTTATAGGATGCCATTTATTTATTTTTTATATTTATATTTTTCCTTGTTTGAATTTACCTTTCTTGGATATATTTTCCATCTGTCTATGCCAAACTAGTCCCTATACTGTTAGCAACATTCTACCGAAAAAAATGAAGTTCCCAAATATTTCAACTGACCAAAGAAACAAACAGAAAAGATTATAAAAGAAAGAAAATGAAAACAATCAACTCCTTAAAGCCAACAACTGACTGATTCTTTGGTCAGATCCTACCTATGTTTGTGTGTCACCTCCAAAATGTTGTCAAGGGTCACTTGTGTATATAAGACTTTTGTAAATATCAGTGTGACAGTTCATTGTTAATGTTACTCCAGCTTTGGATTTTTTTAAGGAAAAGAAAAGAAAATTAACTGGGGTACATCACAATTTGCTTAATCTACTGATTTGGTTGGTGTTAGCTGTGTTCTGATTTTGTGCAAGCTACAGATAAAAAAAAAAAAAAAAAAAAAAAAAAAAAACAAAAAAAAACAACAAAAAAACCAAAAAAACAAAAACAGACCACCCCCTACAAATTCAGATGACCTGTGTCTCCTCTTGATTGGTACCAGAAACCAGGACATGATCAGTCCATTGAGCCCCACCAAAATCCCATCTCCCATTCTAAAAAGATTGTCTCTTTTCAAAGCATTGTTGTTCATCTTCACAATGGATTCATAACAATTTCTTCCCATTTATTTGAATTTGGTCATCAGTTTTATTAGATATTTACAAATAAAACCAAAATTTGGAAGAAAAAAAAAACATTTGCTACAAAATCATTCATTTTATTTATTTAGGTGTGGAAGAAGTTTTCTTGCCAAGAACTAGTTGGATGATATATGTTGAGAAAAATTACCAGCAAATCTGTGGAGCAGGATCAGGTATTAATTTTGCATTTTAGAACAGATTTATTTTCCTCAAACTAATTTCACATAATACAACTTCCTTTTATAATCTGACTTCATTTTATATCAAAGAAAGATTTATTCTTATGGAATGTTTGACAAGTCCTTTTATCCCAATTAGTGTTGGCTTTCAACTTCCAAAGGCTTTTTCGACAATCATAACACCAAAATAAATGGAAGTAGTTGAAAATTATTCAAAATTTAAGCAGAAAACAAAACTATACTCATGGAATTGAAGTGAAATCTCTTAAAATATGTCAACTTTAAAATATATATATATAAAACAGACATTCATATTGTACTATTTGATTTGTAATATTTATGTTACCCAATGAATTTCTCTTTATAAAAAAGGATGGAGTCTTTGATCACTTCTCAAAATCTGAAATCTAGCTTTAAGGACAGTGGCGCTTATAGAGTGTCATCTTAATGCATACTGCAGTTTTTATTCTTATTTTTAAGTCTTTGAGGAGAGTCAGGGCTGGTCAAGGTTGCAAGCAACCATCAACTCTTATTTCACACAATTTGGTAATCATTTTTTTTCTTAAGAAGCATTCATTATTATGCTGCATGGAAGTCATAACACAAGAAAGAATGCTGTGATTACAGCACCTGTTATCAGAATTTGAATCCTATTGCTTAATTTTGATTGGCTGAAATATTTCTATATGATTTTAAGTCAACATTTTCTATTTTCAAGGCAGGTTATATGAATTATTATTTTAAAAATAAAAAACTCCAATCAAACTGCTACATTAACAAAACTTTTTACAATAACTATTTTGTCCAAATTGTTGATATTAAATCTTGGTTTTAATTAGAATATCAGTGGATTATCTTTATTGATGGTTAATTGAGAAAAAAAACAAAAAAAGGGACAAGCAGTAAATGGAAGTAAATTGAATACAAGAATTACTTTCAAGCAATTAGTATTTACAAATTATTTTTTTCATCCCATTTCTTTCTCTTAGAAATATTTTATTTAACATCTTGCTCTGTTTTGTTGGATTTCTTCTCTATTCTTGGCTGTATTTGTCATGTCTGTCCGTTTATGTATCTGTCTGTCTGTCATTCTCTTGTTAAAAAATAAAATAATAAAAAGCAAAAATTTAAAAAAAAATGTTCTGGATTGTAGTGAGGTGTGAATGTGTGTCAAATCAGCAAATGCACGAGTCCATCTAAAAATATTTTGTGTCTGTAGGCTTGCTCCTCAACAACCACAAAAATAAAAGAAATAAATCACACATGTATGCAGACACATACACACCATATAAGGGAGACAACCTAAGTTGTATCTGAAACCTTTCAACTCATTTTGGTAGGGGACCAGGTCAGATACAAAAAAAACTTCTCAAAGAAAGGCTGCATGCTTTTCTTCTTTCATTGAATAAAGAAAATATAAAACTTGTATTTTGTATTTTCAAAGATTTTTTTAAGCATTTGTTTGTATAAAGAGTATGTCAGTACAACTGTTGAGATTTTATCATTGCTGGTTCTGTTTTTTATTTCTCACCTGTCTACTCACTCCAGTCCTTTCTTTCTTTCTAAATGAGCCAGTTTCCAGGAATGTCACTGTTGAGTTGGTTGTTTCCAAATAAAGTTAGTGTCCAAAATTCTTGATCATTAATTGGTAAAAATAATTGAAAGCAACAGTCAGAAATGGCATATGTCAAATGTACAACAAATTGAAGATAAGTTGTCAGTGAAAGTAAAAATGCATGCATCTAATTTTGTGTAACTCAAGCTATATAAATGTGAGAATATTTGCTAGTGTTAGTTCACACAGTGGAACTGACCAAATAGCCAAGGTCTGTAGTGCTATTGTATGCAAATGTTCTAGATTTGTAATAAAAACATGTAGATTAGGTAAAAATATGGTTTTCAACATTGATTAAAGAGGGATTGTTGATATGTAGATAAGGAGAAATTTTTTAGTCTATTTTTCATAATACTTTATACTCCTTTCTTTTTAGCTTTAATCTGACCTGGCAACATAATATAGTGTTCATGTAATGTAGTCTTTCAGATAACTGGGGCAGGGGTTCTTTTTAATATATCTAATTCCACCACTTATTGAGATATTGGTGCACAAAGGCTCTGTTGTTGAGCTGCAGTCTCTGACTTACAGACTGATCTATGTCATCCCAATGGTTTTCTAGAATGATCCAAATCATGATCCTAACTTCTTCAATGAGTTATCCAAATTAAACTGAAACTCAGGAGATGGTGTTGTCTTCATTTATTTGGTATAGATTTCATCTGTTTCTCCAGAGTCCAACTGAATCAAATAAGAAAAGGGACCAGTTTTAACATGACTATCCCCTATAACCATTTTGATAATACAGAACCACTTTGAAATTCACTGGCAGAACTTGCTTTGTCATGATTGTTGTTTTTTTTTTCTTCTCTGTTTTCTCCTCATGTGTTCATGAACTGATGTTTTGTGATGAATCACCAAGCCCCCTCCCACCACCAAATTTTTTATTTTCCTGTTCATCCTGTAATCATTTGTGAGCTGTAAGACAACAAGAATCAACTCAACTTTAAATACAATGAACCTTTCTTTTGACTCTCCTCTACATTCTTTCCATGAAGATAGGCACAAACCTTCCTGCTTAATCTATTAGAAGAAGGAGCTGGGGTCACATCTTTTATTCCATTTCTAGATATAAAAATCTCAAATTATTAACAAAAGCAGCAGCATTTCCTGAAACCATTATCTCTGCAATTCCATATGTAGCAAAACAAAAAAAAACTTTCTATAGCTGAGGTTGCTGTGGCAGAATTAGAACCCATTTTACTATATGCATCAACAATCACAAGGAACGTGTGTCCTTTGAATGGATCAGCATGTAATCATCAAACTATAGGTTTGGCATTTACAACAGTTCCTTTGAACTCAATGTCCTTGTAAAGGATTAGGCCACCAAAAATATTTTCTACTTAAGCATTTCATTCTAACTGTTCTTGGGTGTGTCCCTCATGAAGTGTTTCTAGTTGTTTCTATCCTTTCAGGAATACAATAATCCTTTTGTTACAATATTAATTTTTTTTACTACCCCCATTTCATACCTCCTTGTAAAATAAAGACACCATTCTTCTGAATCATGACATTTGTATGCAGCCATCTATTTTTTGGTAACTGATTAGAGTTTGAGCAATGTATTCCAGCTGCATAATGTAGCATCTTTTCCTGCTGCCTATATCCAGTGGTGTAACCAAGCTTAGTAGTCCAGTCCTCAGGCTCTTAGTGGTCTGGTCCTTAGGGTCTTAGTATGACACTTTAACCACAGGCTAATTCTGCACTGGTTGGTGCTGATGCTAGTCCAAGCTGGTTGTTGGTTGCTTGGATCCACATCATCTCTGCCCACATTGTGAACTTGATCTTGGACCAGATGAAGATTGAAAGTCATAACCCTTCTTCCCACATCAATCTCTCTAGTGACACTAGGCCTTGTCTAAACTCCTGGAAGGCTGGGTTCAAAGTTTTGGAACCAGGGATTCTATTTTGCAGCTTGCATGGATTTCAGATGCACTCAATGCAGGATCTCAGCCCAAAGTCTATGAGCTCCTCAGTCATCTGCTTATATGCACTTCAACCCAAAATTATCTACCTTCCTTGGGAGTAGTCACAGGATAACTTTTTCCCTTAACTCCAACCTGCTTCACTTCACATCTCTCACTGCTACTCTGCACAGGTGGGGCTAAACTCTGTCTCTTCCTTCTCAGTATTCTAACTCTGCCCACTTCTCAGGGCGCATAACTGTCTTTGTGACAAATATAATTTTTAAAATGCATTCAAGAAAGAGCATGGCTTATTCTCATTAATTTAAATTCCGACTCCTTTCGCACAAACCAGAACACCTTGGCATAACATGATTGATCTTCATAACCTAAACTCAAAGAAAATGGGTTCATTCTGTGTTTTCATTTTCGTCACTGAAAATATAATCTTCATCTGCTTCTCTTTTCATTTATATGTTTTCCTAATTTCTCAGCAAAGAGACTCTCTGTTTTCCACCCCTGTTCCGGTTGCCATCTCAGTGGAAACACAAGCCAGATCAGCTGCCTGTTATGACGGATCGATTTTCATAATCTTAACCTTTGCAATGGGTACATTCTCTGTCTCCATTTCTCAATTTGTTTTCACTAATAAAAATATAATTCTCGTCTACTTTTCTGTTTGCCAGTCACATGTTTTCCTAATTTCCCAAGAAAGAGATAAAATTGTTCCCTAAATCTGTTTTTGTTCACATTCCAGATTCTTGATAGATAAGAAAAATAAACTTTAGGTGAGAAGAAATCCAGATGGTTCCATTCTCACCAAGGAAAATCTCTCTCTCTCTCTCTCTCTCTCTCTCTCAGCCTATATTTCAATTTGGGCTTAACCTTTTACTTTACCTGCTTAGAATTAATGTCTAACCACCTCACCGCCTCAGTGTCACATCATAGTTTCCTCTGACATTGGAATCACCTTGATTTTGATAGGCTGCAGCAAGCATCTTAGTTAATTTGAAGTCCTATTTTGTTTAATTTCCTAATACACAAGTTGGTAAGTTTAAGCTGATAAGATTACAGCCCACCTCTGTATCATAGCTGATTTCAGGGACTGGGACTCTCAAATCCATCTTCTATGATAGAGGACAACACTGGCCCAAGTTCATATGGAGAATCATCATAAGCAACAGTAAATTCCTTGTTTGGATCAAAATGAACAATTTGTAAAATGCAAATAATCCTTCATCTTTTTCCAGGTTAGTTCCTGCTGAGTGGTTTGCTTCTGTTTCACTTCTTTCCATGCAACTGGTGATTAAAGGTGATAAAATATTGTAGATGTTAGGAATGTAATAATTCAGTATTCTCAAAAATACTTAAAATTCTCTGATGTTAGTTGGTTATGGAGCCTTTTTGATAGCCTTTGCATTAAACTGGTTGAATTCCTCCACTGTTAATTCCTGGTGTGGATTTTTAACTAC